GTCAAAATTAGGGTAACTTGTGAAACTTGTTTATGTAGGTTTGCTTTCTGTCATGTCAGCACAGCATCATATATACCATTATCCAAACACGTGATTTCTGTGGCCTCTCATGCAATACCTTTAGCATGAGATTCTCTCCTTTGTTCAATTTTATCGATTAATGGCCTAATTTTACTTCGTGCACAACTTTTCTGCTGCCTTAGAAAATCTTGGGCACAACTTAAATTTCTTGTCTCGTCTCAATGGGACTATAAAGTTCTCAGGCCTCAATGATCGATCCAATCCAAGGCATTGTGGGCCAAGTTTACATCTTGCATGCACACAATTATTTTACAGCATAAGCAACAATTATATGAGGTGAAGGGGCAAAAAAATCAATATTTATTTGAACAACGCGGGTTCTTTTTGTTGAGAAATTTCGGAATTCCATTCGTAATTCAGTTAAAAAAAATTAATAGTTATAAATAGCCAATACAAACTAGCTATAAGGGCCATTACAAGTACGGATAAATATCCATTGAAATTAAATTTGTTCGTGAAGGTCAATCATTGTGCCTTGTGATATTTGTTCGTGGTGGAGGTGGAGGACCTGGAGGCCTAAATGTGGAAGGTTGCTGTGAATTTAGGGGGACATGGAAATAAATTTTAAAGAATAATAAATACAAAAAATGTATATAGAAGTGACGGTATCAGTCACATTGAGAGTGATATAGATAAGATTAATTGCCCCACCATCAGATGTCACTGTTACTATGATAATATCTGCGCCATGTATTATATATAAAATGTATATATTTTCTTCTCGGGTAGAAGTTTATGTGCTTACTGCTGGTTTATTTTCGTCTGTAATTATCAAGGAAAGGGACAACTGAATAATATATAATATCTACAGATGACTTCTTTTTATTTTTACGAAACCATGGATGACTTTATCTTGGGTTGATCAATGTAAGAATAAATGACTTTATTTCCGGCCAATATGAGAATCTGAAGTGTTAATCACGAAAGGAATTAAGTATAATTTGTCCCATCAACTTTTAAGAAGAAACATTATATACAACAGTCTTTGAGTGCACAAGAAATCAATTCAAATATAAGCATTTGATGCATTTGATGCAATTATGTTCTTTCAATAGTTAAAGATTATTGATGTGAATGCTAACGATAGTTGTTTACGTGTACATACGAATGAGTGTTAAATATGATAATTGTTAAATGTTGATGAATGTACATTTTACAGGCATACAAACAAATCTCGCCATATTAAATGCACCATGTCATGTTTAGTATGTCATATATAAGCAGAAAACTTATGTGTCATTGGCCGGAAATAGCAACAAGTATTATTCCCGACACAAAATTTGATTGAAATGTCCAAGTTTGATGCTCCCTGTTATTTAGTAACCAAACAAAATTATCCCAATACATCAATTTGTATGCTCCTCTTATAGTAAAATGCCTGTAATCCATTATTAGGGTCTTGTAAACTAAGCGATTGAATTGAAGGTTAGGCCAACTCTCAAAGGCAGATTAAAAAATAATAGAAAGCAGCCCACAATTTTTGCAAATAGATTAGCTTGGATAAGGTTCCTAAGCAAGTTGTTTGTTATTTTATGTACATTGTTTGCTATAATCATTGTTCACAAAACATATATAATCTTAGGAATGAAGATTAAACAAATCATCCATCTTTTTTAAGTTGCATTCTTTTTAAAGATTGGAACTGTAAAGTGGATACAATCTTACCTGAACTAGATTCGATGTTTATCTTTGTCTAACCAAATTGCCCAAACAAATATGTATTTTTTAGTCCACAAATGTAAGATTGTAGGTTTTGGATTACAATTACCGTAATCTACGATTAGAGTGTAATTAACTATTAATTTAGTGATATTTATCTTTTCTGATTCACTTTCCCCATTAATAAACAAAAAAGTACACAAAAATCTTCCTGCATCGAATTTTGTTTTTTTGTCGAGTTCATGAAACATATTTGTCCACTATGTTTATCAAAAGCAATCAAATTTAATTTGTTGATTTATTACATGTGCGGGTTAGCCCAATTGACTTGAGCATGTTTACCTCTCACACTCGAGTTCGAATCCTTTTTCCGCTTAATTTGGGTTGTTAAAATAAAATGTGGTATGTTGATTGAAAAACAAAAGAACTGCTAGGCTGAACTAGCTAGGCCCAATGTTTTTTTCTTGGTCTGGACAGGCCCAGTTTTAGTGTTACGCATTTGTTGGCCCATTGATCCGGTAATTTTTTCAGCAGAAAAATCAGTCGGCTGCCCACTTTTCGGCCGTGTACCGCGTAAAGTGGCAGCATTTAAATATGTCCTCAACTGCAAAATTTCCCGATACTTTCGAATAAGACAACAGGATTTGGGGTCAATTCGTGAATAATGTAAAATTCACAATGTCTTTTCTGCCGGACTAGATGACAAAAACAGCAAAGGGCATTATTGGCTTTTGCGGTTTAATTTCGTTCTTGGGGGGTGTTTTTGCAGAACTCTTTGGAGGGAGCAATTTTCTTTTTAGTTTACTGGTGTCGGTAAAGTCCCACGAGTCATGATTTTTCATGATTTTCATGCGTTCCATGTGTGGCTTGGCTTCCGAGAAACAAAAAGAAATTGTTGTCTAGTTTATCATGGCATGGTAAGTGGAAAACATTAGCCATTGTATTTCCTGAGTGGATATACAGAATGGAAAAGCAGGATTGGAATTTGACATGAAGTATATCACCTTCAAATTCACAGCCTTAAAATGTTATTTTTTACAAAAGCGATAACAGATAAGAGGGATTCGAACACACAATCCCGAATACAGTATTAATTCCTTTTAATCACCTGAGTTGAGTTATAACCCTCTTGCAAATGGAGAATACAACATATCTTCTCCATTCTGCTTTGATTGATTAGTTGGCTATTTTTTGGTGTTCATCAAATGTTCAATAGTTGTAATGTCAGAGTTTGTGGTAAACAATAATTGTCCATAGAACCTTTGGAACTTACATCTGCCCATAGACTCTGTTTCCATCATAAATTTTTGGTCTGAAATCTTGCTAACCGAGAAACAAGAGCAGGCTTTGTGGTGGGTCACCTGGTCTCTATCATTTGGTAAGATTTGTCTGTGAAGAGGTCATGTTGATCTTTGAAGAAAGGCGTACAAATTTTGGGCTCCACAGAATTTCTGAGAAGATTGATCTATTAAAGTAACCAATTGTGTTTTGTCACGAGAAATAAAGGCAAAATCTATATGAGAACATTTCACCTAATATAACTTGTTGCTGTGTAACATGTGTTTCACTAGATGAGTTTAGATATGATGTAATGCACTTAATTTGAGTCTATCATGATATGATATATGTAGACACATATATACTGCCCGTTCAGTGAGTTGGATAAGATTCATAATCCTAGTCAAATGTCTGGTGGCCTAAAAATAACATGAATTTGATTATGTCTAATCCTACTGGGCCAAATATAGTAAGATTATGAATCCTACCAAAATGTTAGGATTAAGTTGGATTGGATTATGTCTAGTCCTACTAAGCCATGTAATAGATCATTTCAATCAATCCAACCCATTAATCATGTGTAATACCAAACATATCATTGGATTAGTGTTATCATTTCCAGTCTAATGTAATTCAATTCTACCACACAACAATCCAATCCAATCTCAATCACCAAACATATTTACAAGGAAATTTGATATGATTCAAAGCGATACGCTAAATTACTCTAAACTACGTTAAAGAGCACCGAATATGGTTTTAAAGGGAACGGACACCTGGTAGGGTAGCTATGGAAGATCTTTACTTTCAATTTCTTGGCATTACAGATATAAAACCATGACAAGTGTACGGTATAAATATGCACTGATTGAAGACCTCAGTTTTCTTATATTTCCCCCGACACAAAATATTCTGCTTTTTTGAACAACGAAAACGTGCTCAATTTACTTACTATCAATCAATTAACATACATCTTCTGTGAGCATGCATGTATCAAGTTTCATGTATTCAATTTACCTCCCATTAACTTCTCTTTCAGTGTAAAGACATGAGCTGTTCTTGTTATTCTAATTTTTTTTCTTTGAATTTTGTTTAACAAAGCCAAAATTATAATATAATTTGTCGAGTAATGATCTCTTATCAAACTTTTATTACGAGACAAATTCTCATATTGTTAAGCCCACACATCAATTGTTCAGATTCGTAGTTTAGCAATTTAACCTGCAGCCGGCAATGGTATAAATCTATAGCAGGAAATATATCTACCATGGCATTGGCATATCCTCTCAGAATACAGCCGACCTCTGCATTATTAGGTATAATATATTTTTCATTACAACAAGAACACAATGCAACTTGCAGGTAGATGTTCTCAGCCAGAAAAGAAGTAAAAATACTTAGCAAGTTGATGTCGGCGTGTAATATTAAATATTCACCGTTGATTCTGATTATTAGTACCATATTAGTCAACGTTTTATTTAGAGGGTCACAGCTAAGCCGTTGATCTCACACCAGAGAAAAAGAAAACAGTGCTATACAGTACTCGGTCATGACTAGATTCCATGTCAGTAGGTCCAAGCAAGAGTTTTAGATATGATATCCACGTAATAGCTGACTCTTAGTCGTGATTTTTTAACTTCAATTTTAATCATCTTATTTCCCAAATGTGGGCAGACAGAGAGAGAGAGAGAAAGCCTTATCATTTTCCTTCCGAGTCCAACTGTATTTTTTGAACGTTTCAATGGGGCCAGTTGGATAAAATAGTTTGGAAAAATATATAAATTTTCAGTTGAGGACTCGTACGTTTCCAAAATTTTCATGCAAGGACTTTTTGTGGTATTTTGTTGGATAAAATAATGGTTTGGAAAGTTGATGGTTTTTTCAGTTGAGGACTTCCATGCTTTCAAATTTTTCATGCAAGGACAGTTTATGTGACTATAAGAACCCTCTTTGGCAACATGTTGTGCCACACAGCCCATTGAGCAGCCTGATTGATGTTTTTCTCTGTTTCTGGTGCTTTTGTTTGCTTTCAGTCATATTTTAATTGATTGAGTTTTGGAGGCAAAAATGACTATCCTCATTGAGCAGCCTGATCATCAGCTTGGTACCCTTCTAGCCTTTTCCTTAGTTCTTTGTTTTAAACTCTTCTGCATTGAGTTTTAGGTTCTAGTTCTGATGCAGAATTAATTGATTCTGATCTTGATCTTCTCTTCCTGTTTTAGCAGGGTCACAAATGGAGGAGAAGAAGCTTTGTTCTGAATCCAATGAAACCTGTGAACTGGTTTTGGATGGTGGGTTTGTGGTGCCCAAAGACATCTCCAAAAATAACGGATGTGTGACACAAAAAATTGCAGCATCAAATGATGCCTTCATTGCCCCTGAAATTAACTCATTTGGCCAGTCATTCAGGTCTCTACATATATTTTCAGTTTGTTCACTTACTTATGTTGCATCAAGGGTTTGGTTTCTTGTTGTGAAGCATTGGAGCCTGACCTGATTTTTATGCACAAATGCTTTGCAGGGATTACAATGCAGAAAGTGAGAGGCAGAAATCTGTGGAGGAATTCTACAAGTCGAACCACATCAATCAAACATTCGATTTCGTGAAGAAGATGAGGGAGGAGTATAGCAAGTTGAACAGAGTGGAAATGAGCATATGGGAATGTTGTGAGCTCCTGAATGAGGTTGTGGATGACAGTGACCCTGACTTGGATGAACCCCAAATTGAGCATTTGTTGCAAACAGCTGAAGCCATCAGAAAAGACTATCCTAATGAAGATTGGTTGCACTTGACTGCCCTTATTCATGGTAAATGCCAATTAAAACTCCTTGGTTCTGATATGTTTTGGATAGAGATCCACTGCAGCATATTTAACTTAATCTTGCATGGGTTTTCAGATCTTGGAAAAGTGCTTCTTCTTCCTAGCTTTGGAGAACTTCCTCAATGGGCTGTTGTTGGTGAGCCTTGCAGTTTCATTGTTGATTGATATATATGATTTCACCCCTTTCCCTTTTTGAGCTATTTCAATTGAAAAAAGTTAATTATTTTGTTGCAGGAGACACACATCCTCTTGGGTGCGCTTTTGATGAATCCATTGTTCACCACAAGGTAAATTTCCTCTTCAAAATTTACTTGAACTGAGGACATCTTAAATGTGACTATAATCAATCAAGTTACACCAAATTTATTTGCTTCTGCAGTATTTCGAGGAAAATCCGGACTACAACAATGCTTCCTTTAACACTATGTACGGGATCTACTCAGAAGGATGTGGACTGGACAATGTCATGGTATCTTGGGGTCACGATGACTACATGTACTTGGTATGTCTTTCTCTCCGTACGATTTTCAAACATCACTATCAGCATAACTCTGATTTTGTTAACTGGTATGTTCAAATCTGCAGGTGGCTAAGGAAAATGGAACAACTTTGCCTCAGGCTGGATTGTTCATCATCCGGTATCACTCGTTTTATCGTAAGTACCATCATGAAAATCGCCTTCCAACTATGCAAACTGCACTTGACAATATTCTGTCCAAGGAAACCAATGTTGAGAATTTCCCATTTGTCATCTTGCAGCTTTACATAGGGCAGGGGCTTATAGACACCTTATGAACAAGGAGGATGAAGACAATCTAAAGTGGCTTCAAGTGTTCAAGTAAGCTCCATTTCCAAATCACTTCATTTGTTGATATATCCCATCTCATCATTCTAATTCAAACTGACCATGTTTGTGCTTTTATTTTAGAGACTCCAATATAAGCCCATACAACTGATATCCCCTAGATACAAACCCATCTATCTATATAACTACGTTGAAAACCCAAATTCAAATTTAAATGACCAGTAGGATATAAGAGGTCGTAGTATTTCTATGTTTTTACATCGTTGCCACTAAACTTCATATTTTATTTATAATTTATTTCAAGCATTTCATTAACTGCCATAATTGTAATTAATATACTCCCTATTAATAGCATATCAATCACTCCATTTCTTTTAGTTGTCATTCCCTCTCACATCTCGCCCCCTAAAATTGCAAA